TGAATCATGTCTCTAGTGGAAGGGAGGATCATTTTTCAAGTTGTATAAACCACGTCAGATGGGCCTTGGAAATCAAACAAACTTATCTTAAACTAACAAACACACAAAGGTGGTAGGAAATAATGTGATGAGACAACAACAGTGTAGATTAGATAGTCTTGTTGTGAGATTACTGTAACAACATACGAGTTGAGTAAACCTGAGGCAGTGACACCGAACGTAGGCAGCAAAGATATTTACCGTGATTGTCATAGACGCTGACATAAGAAATACCGACAGCCATACACCACACCACCAGGCTAGCTATGTCCGTGTAGCTGGGCTCCTCTTCGGCTACCAGCAGGCCGATGTGGACCGGCAGCTTCTCTAAGGACCTGCCATCGGACAGACACCGTGACCGGCGACTGGCAGCGTAGTTTCCAGTTACCGGGTTAGCGTTAGCACCGGGGTTGCGATTCAACTTCTTCTGGTGGTCGGGGAACCCAGCCAGGGCCACCGGCAGCAGCAGCGCGGTCATAGCCCGCTCCCAGAGTCGGCCCTTCCAGCCCCGAAGCCGGACCCGGAGCCAGGAGACGAGGGCTCTGTTGACGTGGACCAGCACCAGCAAGAACCGCCACAACAGGCCGTACAGCAGCGCCATTAGCGTCTCTGTTGCTTCGGGGTGAAGTCTGACTTGACAGCGATCAAATGTGCAGCATGGGCGCTCTGCCTGCCTGTTTCATCTGACTCAGCGGCGGCAGATGTTCGCTCCGCCTTCCGCCATCTTCCCTTCGCCTTAGCAACCCCTGACCTGTGAACCCCCACAGCGTGACACGTAGCTCGCTGATTGGACAGGAGCGCAGTGACGTTTTCTTCTTCTTCGGAAGATCGGGTGTGTAACCGGCGAAATGCTGCCCTCTACAGTTTGTTCAGGTTCAGTTATTTCTCTTGTAGAATTACAAGAAATAATAAACCCTTTCACTTCCATCACTTTAGGATTCACTTAGTTATTGGAACTCACTATCTTCCAGTGGAATACTAGAGGACTCATAGCAAATGGACAGATATTTAAAGGTCCAGTGTGTAAGATTAAGATGAAAGGGAACTATTGGCAGACATTTAATGTAAAATAATCCTCATGATGTTTTCAC